ATAAAAAAGTTCTTTAAAGTTACTGATGGCCAGATTTAAGAGCCTTATGTTGGCCTGGAGTCTCAGCTTGCATAAAGTAGCTCATCACTTCACACACGAAATCGGTCTGAGAAATTAGGAGACTGAGGAACTGTGAGCGAAACCTCGCTTTTCTTCAACTCCAATGGCTTGTAACGTCTGACTGGTTGAGCTTTGTGCACCTGCAAGAGTGCAAAAAGAACCCAGGTCAGGGCAGAAAGGAATACGATGGGCAACCATAGCAACACTTTTTACACAGATCATAGAGTACATTTGAGTTTTCCACTTAAGTTAGGCTGATTCTTTTAAACTACAAGGGCTAACAGCAGGTTAAATTTAAAGACAAAAATCAAAATGCAAGTTAAAAAAATGTAGCACCAACAAATTTCGCAGACCTTCCATGCTGTAAAACAACTGAAAGACTACCAGTTGCAGGAAAAAGTCAGGGGGCACCAAGGAGCTGAAAAGCCTACCTGCTCCTGGCGGAGTCTCGATATCTCCTCCTTTGCCTTCTCCTCCTGCTCCCTCCTCTCCTCCTCTTCCTTCAGCGCCCTTTGCCTCTCTTTCTCTGCGACAATGTGATCAAACTCCATTCGTTCTTTCGCCCGCCGCTCTGTAGACAACTGAAATCCCTCTGTCACTACGGAATTAGAAAGGGCCTCTAAGTACAGAAAGAAAATGGGGGGAAAAAAATGGGAAAGTAAAACCGAACCCCAAAACAAGCCAGGAAAAGTGTGCAGCTGAAATAGTTCACCATCTTGCATGTTGACAGCAGCACTGCTTCTCTCAATAGTTGCGAGATGCACGTGTATCGGTGCAACAATGAGAAATACTCGAGCTCTTGTGCACTCGAACCACCCTTACCCAGCTGAGAACAGGTTTCACAAAAACCTCTACAATACCTGTAGTTGGTCTGTTCTCCTTTTTGGGAACGAAGGGCTCCTTGTGGGTGACAGTGTTGGGACGCGCCCTGAAGGAGGCAGCCTCGGCCTGCTGCCTCAACTCTTCCTTAAGCTGCAAAAGAAAGGTCAAGCTTTTTCAGCCACAGAGGAGCCCGGATTCTGGGAGGCAGGCAGGCGTCCCGGCATAAAAACGGACATCGGACACTCAAGTTCAAAAGAGCATCCAAACAGCACAGGCTAGTTGAACACTACCCCGACAGATCCCAAAACTGGAAGACCCGGACGTTCACGACGACTTCGGAAGGCTCACCGCTTGCTCCCAGTGTTCGGTCTTCTTGGCGCCCCGCTCATCGATGAGCAGTTTGAAGGGCTGCACCTTGGTGGCTTCAGCCACCTTCTTCTCGGGCAAGTGGACTTCACTGAAGTCAGGCAGCGGCTGAGCTTTGAAGTTGGGAACCTTCAAAATAAAGTTGTGTGCATGGGGGCGAATCAAACCGGCTGCCGCGTTTTACAGAAAACAGCTTGAATCGTGAGGAGCGTCATTAACAGGGGTTTCTGAGCAAGCGAGAATACTGAACGTGAAAAGGGGAGCGGTTTTAGCTGTCCATTAGGAAGGGTCACAAGGCAGAGGGGAAAAAAAGAAAACCGTTCAAAATAGTTACCTCCTCATGGCGAAGCTCCTCCAATTTCTTTTCTTTGAGAGCCAGTCTCTCGCGCTCGCGGGCATCAAATGAAAACGGACACACTTCCACATGTTTATTTTCCAGGGGTTTAGGTTGGAAAGGAAGTCCAAAGTGCGGCATTGGATGGGCCTTAATCACAGGACACTCCTTCTCCTGGAACGACAGACGCATTTTAATAAAAACTCTAAAACGGCTGCTTGAACAGTTGAACTCTAAATGAGAACAATAACGTACCTCCTCCTTCCTGGTCTCGATGCGGACCCTGTTCTTCAGTGCAAAAGCTGGAGACTGCGGTACCGTTGGGGGCAAGTGCTTCTTCTCGGGCACACCCTGTTATACAGGAAAGAGTTTGTAAGACAAACTGCCGCCCAGCTGGAGCTCTCAGGTGACTAGACTGGCACGGAAGTCCCCAGCTCAGGTCGGTATCCCCCCCAGTGATGAGACATGATCGGCTGCACACTGCTGGGGTAGAGCTGGGACCGACTGGCCAGGGCAGCATTCCAGCTCAGGATGATGTCACTGGGAAACACCGTTTACACTCACAGGTGAGACCGTGCCACAGTCTAGAGCCCAGACGAATAATGTCTCCACATCAGCACAGGAGTGGCAGCCATAACGCTGAGGAATACACAACTGGTGCTTTTCTAAATAGTTTGTGAAGGAAAAGCATAAGATTTAAACTCAAAGCTGTAGTACATCTGTATCACAAGACACCAGCAAGTCTTCTGAACAGACCTCTTTAGAATTAAAACCTCGTTAGCAGCCATTGCAAATATTAGAAATATGAGATTCTGCAATGCATATTGATGACATGCAAAGCAACATGGGTTTTAATTAAATGTACAGCAAATGGAGCTTTTTCATTACAATAGGAAGACAGAATACCTGGCCACTAAACACTGATTCTTCAGTCATCAGTAAAACCCTTTGTACCAATTCGACATGCAAAAACATTAGACTCAAGATTCACCAAGATCAAGCCAGGGTGAAAAGGCAACGTACCACGACATCTTCAAGTATCTTCACAGGCAGTGGTCTCGAATGGAAAGTATACTCGTCCTGGGCCTCTGGCTTCTTGCTGGCCTCCCTCTCCTGCAGCCTCTTCTCGATCTCCAGGTCGAAGCCGATGGGCTGGGTGGATTCCTTCACAGGAGGCTTCTTCGGCACAAGAGCTCCATCCAGGACTTTGCGATTCAGCTCCAGTGCTTTAAACTTGAACCTGAGAGGACATGGAACAAGAAAAAATGAAGGATGGAGGACAAGCTTGACCTAACAAAAACCGGAAGGCAGCCGACTGGCTTTTCGGCACACTAAAAGCCATACAAAATGGAACACCTTTAAGATGGTTCAAACGTAACCCCTTCTGTACCTTTTGGATTTCAGCTGTAAACATCCATATTTGTAACAGCAAATTCACAGCTCAGCATGTCACTTAGCAAAAAAGGGCGACTATTTTTGTCACACAAATACTTACTGGTGAATCTGCTCTATCTCCTC